GCTTACTCGGCAATATTGCTCCGATGCTTAAGTTAGTATTTAGTTGCGAACTGATAATAGCTTGGGATGCAAGAGAGCTAGAGAGCAGAGATTACGCATACCTTGCACCCCTGGGGGGTGAAGCCTTTATATAGTGGAGTCCTCGCGGGTCTTGCGGAGTGGTTCTGGAATCCTTGATTCGATGAGGTTCGTTTCCGCGATAATTGAGGATAACACTGCCAACTGATAAGATTCATCACTTCCGCCCGAATCGGACGGGGGAGATAATGTTAGCTGTTATGAGGTGTGATCTCGTGAGGCGCGAAATTTGGTGGCGAGATCTTCGGGGTTGCCAAGCAGTGGTCGGTCAGTATTACCCGAGCTAGTGTCCTTTGGATCCGACCTGGTATGAATGTCGAAGTGCCTTGGGACCAAGGTGGTCCTGATGCGATCGTGCACCGAGGTGAACTCGTCCCGAGGTGGACTTGCCCCGGGGTGGTTTGGTTTGGTTATTCGAGCTCGATCCGTTGCAGACTTGGTGCGTTGAACTGAGTTGTCATCCTGCTAGTTAGGTCGTGTCCACGTGTCCCCCTATTACTAGGTCGGACCAAATCACCTTACATCAGATTTGGTGCAATGGGTCTCCATGATTAAATGATAATTGGGTTTAGAATTACCTTATGCAGTTGTATAACAAGTCCAAAGTAGCCAGGTGACTAATTTTGATTAGCTAATCCCTTAATTAAGAGGAATCTTTCAATTGAGAGTAGGAATATCTTACTTACCATATTACTACTACCAAATCCTCTCCTCCTAGCTAGAAGCGTCAGGGTTTTCTTTGTTATCTCAAACATTATATTGGACAGTGCTTATGTCACAGCATGCATTAAGAATGAATAATCTAACAGCATAATGGTTACTTACAATACATAGGTGTAAAGGGTCCCGGAACTGATTTATCTTCAAATAGTTTATCCATTGATGAGCTAATTGATCTAGTTGTCAAAGGAAATGAGGTCATATGAGGGAGAGATGTTGGTGAAAGAAGGAAAAGAGAGGGAACAAAGAGTAGGGGAGTGAGACAAATTGGACGGTGATGAATTAAAGGACCAAAGAAGATTAGTTGGCATTGCGATATAATAATCAGATATTGACATTGGCACTAAGTAGAGGTGGTGAATGGGGAAGGGAATAGATAAAACTCGTGAGAAGAAGTGATTTATTACAAATTGAAAGGATTAAATGGGTGAAGAATAGACTAAAATGGACATCGGTGAAATAATAAAAAATGATTTAAGCTTTATAATTTTACAATTGATATGATGTTGAACAGAACATAATGGTGAAACGGTATTCATGTAGCTGACCCCATATATTTGAGATAAGGCTTGCATGATGATGATGGTGATATAGGGATAAAACTCTCACTCCCAGGCCTTCATTATTCTTATTCTTAGGCCCCAAACAATTAGAAGTTATCTCCTCCAATCTTATATTTTATTATTCTTACTATTACAGTAGAAACATGAGAAACCCGTAACGTTAAACCTTAGAAATATTATCAAAGTAAAGCATTTCTTTATTGTCTAATTTAGAAAATAAACAACTTCACTACATTTTTTTTAAAGGTCAGAGATGGGTTTCATTTAGATCTCACAAAGAAAGAAGACTATTGAAGTATAATGTTTACATGTTATGATTCTCTCCTTTTGTTATTAGATGCCCTTATTTTCTATTATATATGAATAGTATTGTCGGGACTTAATTATTCATGGTTTTTTTTTTTTTTTTAAATTGGTCATGTTAAGAGAATTTTATTAAAATGATTAAAAAGTAATATAGATCAAGAAATAGGAGCACTAATTTGTTTTAATAAAATCCATAGATCCAAGTACTGTTTGGACTCATTGCATTAGAGGTGTGGTGGTTAGAATTATGGTGTGGTGTTGTCAATGTAGAACCCAATGTTTGAACCTCGTCAAGTTAGTCAAATTTAGTACATTTTTGCTTGGATTTGGACCACTACGCTTCAATCAATGAGGTGGGCAGGTGGCTTTTTCTCTAATCTAAGGTGATTTGAATTGGAATTGGGAGGTAAAAATTGAATCCATGCCATTGGAATGAAAAAGGGTCAAAAGCACAATCCTTTGATTTTTATCATGGATTTGTCAAGTGTTAAGACTTGTTTTACCTTGTTTTCTTTTTTATTATTATATCAAAGGAGGAATTGAAATCCACAACTTTGTGCATGCATCAACCTCATCTACCCACAATGGCCCATATTTTTCTTTGATCTGCAGCCGTATCAGATGGGGCAGAGCTCTAGAAAAAGTGCACCAATTAGTCACCCCCCGCCCCTTAAACCATCTAATCAAGTAGGTAAGTCCTTTGGTTTTTAATTCAAAGAAGATGGTTTGATCAGTTGTGATCTCTACTTGGGATCTGTGATCTGTCCTAACCCAACATGACCCCATCACATACCTTTCATTTTCTTTCTTAATTATATCAAACCCTAATTCACCTGAATCAACCTACCCGGATAAAGCTAATGGGTTGCTAAACAAAATCATCTTTCTATCAGTTTCGAGTGATTCAGACGATTTGAGAGAAAACAAAAGCAGTGGGCACCTAAAACTAGATTGGGTTTGGGTCATGACTCATTATGCATCCAAACAGAGTCATGTTTACTGGATATCTGTGACTGTGTTGTTCTCTACCTTTTGACCAATCAGAAGCTTCCATTTGTTTGTTGTCTAGTGAAATGTGCTTTGAGGGTCAATCCCCCGTGCCTCCACTATCAAGTATGGAATCACGGGCTTCCATTCTCCATTCAGAGTCATGGCCAGAAAAATAAAAAGTAGGATATGGAACGAGACTAATTGGTGGTTTCTTTGGTATTTGCGAAAAAGATGGGGGCAAATTTGGCATCCGAGTTCATGATCTGTAGCACCTCCGTAAAATCTGGGAAATTTTTCTGTTTAGCTTCGTGGGGGACAGCCATCCCAGACCCAGTTAGCGCTGGCGACGTGTCCGATATGATTGCATTGAAATTACTTAAATATCCTCATGGATTTTTGGAATGACGGAGAGAGATGATCGAAGTGTCAAACCAGGCAGCAGCCGGTAGGTATACTGTCCACACATGCCCCTTGCCAGTTTTTTTATACTACTTCTCTCATTGGGCACACATGCACATGCACGATCGCACATGGGAGTTCTAAATGACGAGATTGCCCTTCGTCTTCTTTCAAGATGACCGAATTACCCTTGTATTGATATTCTCATGCATGGGCACCGGGCAGTGTTAGTGTACCGCGTACGTAGGGCCCATGGAATTGAAAGATAAATCAAATCAAGGCTTTATTTCGAGGAAACAAATGATGCAGTGTTTCACTATGATACATTAGCAGTTTATCACACTGGTTCGTTGCTACTGATTGGGCTCCTTCGCTGCATCAAACAGAAAAGCATCTCGTGGGCCCATGTTGACATTAACATCTTGGAAGATGGCCAATGGGGGCCCATCAGTCTAGTCCATTCAATCTGTGGGGCATATCCCTGATGGGAAGAAAGCCCAAATTAATGCCCCCTTAGACATCTAACCACCGAAAGGCCTACACCCCTTTTTCCTCCGACTGAATAAACCATCCTTCGTTTTCTTCCTTTTCTCACCAAATGGTCAGGACACGTACGGTTACATCATAAAAACAATGTGATCATCTGGTCACACGGTCCAGAATAAACATGGATTCCCATAACTCCAATTGATGAAATCATCTCTGATGATCAACCTATAGTCTTGTGCCATCTGTCCCCAATTTCACTGAACAAATTGTATATATTTTACGGGTAATAGAAAATTAGGTACGATGCTGATGTTAATAAAAAGGGCTTGAAGGACATTAGGGGAATTTTGATATATTGAAAGGGAGGGTATTTTTGACATTTTACTTATATAATTATTATTTATGACATCCATAAAAGAAAATTATAAATCACCAAAATAAATAACGGGTTGTACCGGAAATTGGGTGCTTCCGCCCTTCCCCTGGTGAATACGTCTCGTCTCTCTCTGTTTTTTTTATTATTTTATTATTTTGAAGAAATAGATTAATAAATAAAAAAAAAAGAGAGAACCGGTCGACCAAAGCCAAGCAGTTATGAGTTCTGGCGGGACCCACCAATACGAGTATTGACTAGGTAAAGCTTTACATTTTCGAAATTTAAGAGAAAAAAAAACCTGAAATCTTTTTTTATTCTTTTCTTCAAGCAATTTTATATGTTACGAGGGCTACAAAAGTTTATACAGTCGAGCATCGTTGACCGCACATATTTTCTCTGCACCATCAATCACTGCCGTTCCTTTTACGGAGCAGATATTCTTGACTGTTGTCCTGCCAGAAAGTCAAAAAAAAAGTGAAAGTAGGAAGAATTTAATCACTGGGACACGTGTACGTTAGCGATGTAGAGCAGTATTGCAGTGTATACGTTTCCATCTTATAGTTTCTTAATTTCTAGAAATTAAGAAATCATTTAAAAAAATCAAATTTCTTTTTCTAAAGGTTCTTGTGCTTCTAGCTTTCCTCTCTTCTTTTTTTTTTCTAATTTTAATTTAGAGTTAGATTTTTGCAAGAAAAAAAAATCCACTGATAGTTATTTTATGAGCTACATCCCCGCCATAGTCATCAAGATCATAGGGTAATGGACGGTTAAAACACAGAAGAAAAGATTTTCTTTCTTTTTTTATCTGCTACCTGCTAGAGAAAATAAAAGCTCTTCTTGTTTGTTTCTTCTTTTTCTATTGTTCTTACTTCTTTGGCTCTTGCTCTTTTTTTTTTTTTGATCTCTCGTTTTTCTTTTTCTATCTAAATGGGTTATGGGTGGTGTTGTTTTGATTTTAGGTTGTAAAAATTAAAGCAGAAAAGTCCAGAGTCAACAGGATATATGTAATAATATTCCTCTACCCTTACTCCATTATAAAATTAAAATCATTTTTTTATATAAAAAGGAGTAGCAAGTTTTTCAATAACATCAAAATAAAGCAATGAAAGCTGAACATTTACTCTTCTATATACAATAGGAACAACAACAAGAAGTCATAGAAACACCTTCCATTTTACCTTCGTTTCTCCACCTTTATTTTGATTCCTTCGAGGGTTCTTTATCTTCCATTGGATTGTACAGATTCCGGGCTAAAATCCCATTTCAGCCTCCCTGTATTTGGTTGATTCTGCTATTTTCTCTTTTTTTTTTGAGACTATAAGGAAGAACCTGTTGTGTTTGTTGGGTTTTTGGTTTCCTTCTGAAAACTCTACCTGGGTTTTAGCAGAACAGACCTCCACACCCAGTAAATTGATTAAACGGGGTTGAAGAGAACAAACGAAAATTATTCCATTTTTTTTTTCTTGAATTTTCATCAAGAAGATCAGTGGGCTTCTTTTTCTCTTATTTTTCCCTTTCTTTTCTTTATTTTGAATCTTTGTTTGGTAATTAAGGAGCGAGAAAAGCATGGGCAAGCAAGGGCCTTGCTATCACTGTGGAGTTACAAGTGAGTTTTTATTCGTTTTCCATGGTTTTCTGCTTTGTTGGTGCTGAATATTCAAGAAAAAATTGGCTTCTGTTTTCTTTTTTTTTTCCTCATTTATGTAAATGGGGATTCTTTATTTAAATCAATTTCTTCTGTCGAGAGAGATGTCCAGACAATAGTGTATTTCAATGATGAAGAGATTACTTGAACAAGGAAAATGAATAAGAATATGTTGTGATGTGTAATTCTTTTTCTCCTCACTGTCTCGTTTGTGAATTTATTGAATGATACAAGACTACAAAGTGTCCGCCTTTTCTCTTTGAACATTTGTCCTTATATGAATTTTTGTGTATTGAAATAATTTTTCTCTTATTTTCTTCTTCCATTTTTTGGTTATACATTCGTGTTCATATTCCTTTAAGTATATAACCATTCATTTCCTTGGCGTTTTAACTTCGCAGGCGACACTGAACTGGGTTCTTAGAGAATCTGTGTTTTGGTTATTTTAATATCTTCCTGCCATTTTAGGCAGTTTCTTTATGAAAAAAAGAAGAAGAAAAGGAAATTTTTTATTGAGTCATGCCTCGTTCTAATTCTTTTCCATCTATAATTCTCTATGTTTTGAAGGGCATCTTTTATGGATCGATTAGGATGAATGTACTTGTGCTAAACTCAATGTTTGAAGTCCTTTGCTTCTCATATTTTGATTGTTTTTGTTTTATATGAATAGGTTACTAATAAACATCTACTCTCAGATTCATCCTAATTGATGTTCTGTTGGTAGTACTGTTTCTGAAACTGTTCCATCTAATTCCTGAAGGGATACTTTTAAATCTCAATAAGTTCTTAAATGTTTCTGAAATCTACTACATTACACCAATGCTTTTCTACACCTAATAAATACTTTTCTTCTGTAGTTTTAGAGCTGAGCATCGGGTGCATTTGGTAGCAGAAAAACTATTTGAGTTTCTCCTTGGAAAAGAATCTTTATTTCTTTACATTGCTGAGGCTTGATGCAAATGTTAAAACTTAAATTTAATTATCTATTTTAATCAGAATTATGGGAGCGCATACACTAATGGTAGTTGTTGCATTCTATTCTTGCTTCCTAATTGTTTGATATTAGAAAGGGGACAAGTTTCAAAACTACTGAAATGAGTTTGAAAAGGAGATAGCATGGTTCAGAATTTTCACATTTTTCCATTTATGATAGACACTGGGAAACATTGCCCCTGAAAGGAATTGCACCAAAATCATTGAGACAAATGGGAGACTGATATTTATTATGAAAGCTCATTTAGGTTGGGCTCAGCTCGGTTACATATATTCTTCTGCCTCTGTTGAGGTCATTGGCTTGGTATTGCATTTTCCAAGTCATTGGTTAAAAGTTAACATTTCTCTAGTGTCTCCTAGCCCAAACTAAGGATTCTATCACTACCTGCTTCCCAACTTTCTGTTTGTTCATTTTCTTGTAAACTTGCTCTTTGGATTTTCTTCTCATTTAGTGGATTGTTGTTGCTTGAACTCTATCCTTGAGCCTGTTTGCCTCACTTATATCCTTCATCCACTCCTACATTCTTGTCAACCACACTGCTTTGCATCCGATGTTGCACAGGACAGAACCTACATTAGGGAAGACTTAGAAAATAAATGAATAAAGAATTCATTGATTTTATATATTAAACTTAACCAGAACCTCACAACAATAACAGGAGAGGGGGAAAACAGGACTGCATAAAAGTTAGTAAAGAACAGTTGCATCCAACCTGAGCTGTTGAAATTCTACAGATGTATGTCAGTAGTTGGTGATTCACCAAATAACCAAGGGCACCTTTCTACATAATTTCATAGTATCCTGGTTAAATCAGCATTTTAAGTTCTTTCCAAGTTCTATCATCTCCATTTAAGGGCCTCTTGCAGTAAGACATCTCAAGTTCATTAAATAGGTGGGGTAAGGGAATCTATCTGCTATTTACCTCAATCCTGGATTTACCATGTAGGGTGGAATTGGTTCTGCTGGTTAACCTTCCAAAATTTAAACTTGTTATTGACTTTTTGTAACCTAGGTAAATGTTAAAGATGGTTCTGTTGGGATATTTGTTACCTTATTCTGAGATTCAGTTTGTTGGTACATGTTTGTACATGGTTACAATAGCCTCAAATCACATATTGATTTGTGCCCTGAATTAATACAACTCCATGTAACAACCATTGCAAGTTGGGCAGAGTTGCAATCATAAATATGATGTTCATGATCACTTTTATAATAGCCTGTGCTATGGCCTGGCTACAACATTGCAAAGGAGTGTATTTTCTGTCTTGTTTGCTATTTATCATGGTGTACTTGCACATATAACACTGGGATCTTAATTATTCACTGATAACCAATTGACATTCAGAATGTTTTCTATGTAGAGAAATGCTTAAGAATCATAGTGCTAATGGTTCTGCTATAGAAGTTCAATAAGTCTTTTAGGCTTTTCATTACAAAAGAGACTTACATGGTCTTGCATTGTAAAAAAATGGCTACATACATGTAGATGGCCGTGTAATCATAAATAAAGATTTTTTTGCATATGGTACTATATGCATGATTAATAGCCTAATAACCTTTATTCTTGTCAACTTTTCGTAGAATAACAGGAAACATCAGTTGTATTATTTTGAATTGACCATGGTTGTCAAGATGATGCCCAGGTGTCAACCTAGGCAATAAGTGTGTTTTTGGAGGTTGCCTTGTTCTTTGCCTTGGTGTTTCTACATGGGAGTGTGCCAAACTTATCCACCTAGGTGTATGAAGTATGAACATCATATTTTTGGAGGTTTCCTTCTGCTTGATCATGCATATTGTGCTACATCATATCATTTTGTATAAATAAGGACAAAAGTGGTAAAATGGCATTATAAAAGTTAAGTTTTTTTTTTAGTTAAAAGAACCAAAATATGTTTTAACCACAATTGGACTTTAACTAGTAGCGTTCACCATGGTATTCTTTGTAAAATGCCTCTTCTACTTTCCCTCAATCTCTGTAAGAAAAACAAAAAATCATCAATCTTTCTGTCCTGCTGTTCATATATTTGGCAGAATAGGGTCTCCATCTCTTTAGTTCCCCCCCTCCTATCAACATTCACACAAGCATGCATTCTCCAACCTTCTTCCCTTTATTCCTATCATATTCAGCATAACAAGTGCTTTGTAGTTTGTCCCTTTATTTGCCTGCTTTTCTTTCTGATCCTCTAATTGCACATTCTCTTTGTCTCCCCTTTAGGCATTAGTTAATAGATGATTCACCCCCTTGTTTACTTTGACTAGGGAAACAAGCTAACACATAAAAGAAACTAGGAAAATAAGTTAAACTAAGTTCATTTTAATTAAAAACCGTTGCCTCGCATGTTTGCTTTATCACCTTCACAACTGTAGATTGTTGCTAACAATTTATATGAGCATGCTCAACTCCTCTTCATTTTCTGTATCTAAAGTTCAATCCATGGTGTGTTTTCAAGTCGTTCTTGCTTATTGATTTGTTTATACATTGGCTGCTGACAAATAAGTGATGCTATAGGTACCCCTCTTTGGCGTAATGGGCCACCAGAAAAGCCAATTCTCTGTAACGCATGTGGGTCTCGATGGCGAACCAAGGGAACACTTGCAAACTATACTCCACTACATGCCAGGGTAGAGCCTGATGATTATGACGATTATAGAGCTCCAAAAGTGAAGAGCATACCCATTAAGGCCAAAGATGCAAAATTTCACAAAAGAAGACAAAGTCACGACAATATGGTAGCTGAAAGGGAAGCCCCTGAATGTGACCAAAACTTCCGGAAGGCTATTGAAGAAGATACAAGTAACAGATCAAGTTCAGGATCAGCCATATCTTACTCGGAGAGTTGTGCACAATTTGGTGGCACAGAAGCAAGTGATTTGACAGGTTGAATCAATATCCTTATTTCTTCATGTCTGCGTTTTATATGGATAAAGCTCAGGCCATATGAGGGTTGAAATAGTAGTGTGTATGTATTCATTCATACTTTGCATTTTACTTTTTGTAAAGCCTAAAAATAGCACTGGAGTGTAGAATTGAATAGTGGTTCCAAGTTCCAATTTCCATGTCTTGAATAAAATAACAAAATTGGCATGTTATATCTAGATGTTAATACACAGTCAAAATATATGAAATTCTGTTTATTTGTTGTAGCTCCTGTCAAGCAGAACTGTGTTTCTGATTCAGAGTTTACCAAATGTGTTGTCTGCTATTTGACATCACTTTATTTTCTTTGGTAGTACGTTTTTACCTAATAAGGGAATAACTATCCAAATCATTACTGGAATAATAGGCTGACATGTGTAAAAGATTATTAACAGGTGAAATTGAAGTTTTTATGATCCATTTTCATCGATGTAGTAGCTTGCTATTGTGCTTGATGTGCTCAAGTTCATAAATCCAGTTTATGACATTTTCAGGTCCACCCCAATCCACAGTGTGGGATACACTTGTGCCATCAAGGAAGAGGACTTGTGTCAGTCGCCCAAAGCCATCTTCTGTTGAGAAGCTTACAAAAGATTTATGCTCGATTTTACATGAACAACAATCATCTTCTTATTTCTCGGGATCTTCAGAAGAGGACTTGCTTTTCGAAAGTGAGACTCCAATGGTCTCTGTTGAGATAGGACATGGAAGTATTCTCATCAAGCACCCGAGTGCAGTTGCTCGAGAGGAAGAATCTGAAGCCAGCTCTCTTTCAGTAGATAACAAATCATGCCTAGTACATGAGGGATACTCGGGTTCTGCATCTGTTCTTGTACATAATGGTAACAAGGGTGTATATTTTCCGAGTCTTGGCAAGGAGAAATTGAAGAAGTCTACAGGACAAGACACACAACGAGATCTGACTAAAAGGTGAGTCACTTGTTTTGAATTCTATTGGGAACTAGTTGTAGTTTCTGTTATCACTTCCTAAGCATGGTTTAGAGGACAGTGGAGAACCCATTACAGGTCTTGGTCCTGCATCCCAGTGTCCATACCTGGTATGCATGGGCAGAACAAAATTTTACTCGGCACAATAACTCAATCTCTTTCTGTGGGTTAAACTTCCTATTCTTGATGTCACAGGGATAAGGAGCTCATTGAAAAATCACAGATTCTGCGGCATCACAATTCACTACTTAGATCCATAAGTCTGGAAGTAAGATTGCACTTCTAACACTTTTTATTTGATTTTACTTGTAAGTTATTCTTTGAATCTTGATTCTGCATCTGAGTTTCACTTATCAGGCTCTCAGTGTGACCTAGTTTTCATAGTTAGGTGGTTAATATTCTGTTTTCCTTAGATTGTTGTGTAGCTTACATGATTGCAGTCCATGTTTGGAGTAGGATGTCATTGACTTCGAGGAGTTTGTGAATCATTTGACACATGAAGACCAGAAGCAATTGATGAAATTTCTACCTTCTATAGATACTGCCAGACTTCCTGACAGGTTAGTATCCTTATTACTCATTTTTTAATGATAACAAGGTTGCAAAAGCATAGATTGGAGAATTGTATAATGTGCACATAGAATTTGTAAACCAGCGGTCATAGTTTTCAAGGTGCCAAGGCGAGGCTACGCGACAGGGGGGCACCTTGTCGCCTAGTCCCCTAGGCGGGCGCCTAGGCATCGCCTAGGCGATGGATTTTTTTAAGTAAAAATCATATATCCTAGGGTAGTTCCCTAGGATATGGTTACAATTTTTTTAAGTAAAATATAGGGGCTGAACCCCTATTTTGTTATAGGAAAAGAAGAAAAGAAAAGGTGGAAGAAGAAGTAGAAGAAGAAGATGTGGAAGAAGAAATGTGTTGATTAGACAAAATTTAAGTTCTTCCCTTACTTATTGTTCAGATTTTGAAGTCATTGAGGGTTCAATATAGAAGTTAGCAATGTTTGTGTTGATTAAACCCTTACAAATAAGAAAATAATAAAAAGAAATGTTTATAAACACAAAAAATGAATATTTTTCTTTAATAATGTCTATTTTATAATTATAATCTCAAAAAAAAAAACAATATAAAAGTATTTTATTACACAATATGCAAAACTGCTTGGCGACTAGGCAAGGCGAGCCTCCAAGGGTGCCTTGTCGCATAGGCATCGCCTTGACAACTATGCTAGTTGTGCAACCTGTCCTCTTTCTTCCACTTGAAGAGATAATTTTGCCTATTAGCCATGTGTTCAATCTCTGCATTCCATTTCAGCCCTACACCCCACCTTTAATTGGTGATTCCCCAAATCATATTATCTATCAGAAACATAATTTTTTATTGAAAGTTGTTCATAAAATGCCTTGTTGCAAGCACAACAAAGATTTTAGGCTGAAATTGGCCCCATGTATGGAGGACGGCTAGAGGGACACTAACCCTGTTTCCTCTTGGTAGATTCCTAGATTGTTTAGACTAATCTAAAGAATCCAGTTGGAAGATATTAGAGGGGGAAGGCTAAGTTATTCTTGTTGCCATTTCATTTTGTTTATATATATTTATTTCTTTATTTATTTATTTTATTTGCACGTATACCCTGTATGTGTAATGCAGAAGATGATTTCAGGTTTTTGGGTTTCTAATCCATGACAGTGATGCAATATCTTTTTGTCGTATGTGCAGCCTTAAGAGCATGTTTGATAGCCCTCAGTTCAAAGAGAACTTGTCTTCCTTTCAGCAACTTCTTGCGGAAGGAGTCTTTGATCTCTCTTTCCCTGGAGGGACCACTGAAGACTGTAAGACTCTGAAGCGGCTTGTGTTGGTCAATTTGACAAAGTCCAAATGGGTAGAACACTATAATCTGCTTAAGGTAAGAACTAATAACCTAAATTTGGATGTCATAACAATCAAAAACTTGAGTTGATTGGATTTACTGGAAATTAAAAATAGAATTGTATCCAACCTTCTTCTTGGGTAAGTATAACAGTACATGCTCTTGGGAATATAGACACCTTATGAGGGAGGTAAAACAATTGGTTACAGAGTTGAAGTTGAGAACAACTTCTTAACTGGACCCTAAGATCGTTTAACGGAATAGCTGATGCTTTGGTAAGGCAAATAATGAGCAGAAATCAACTGTATTGCTGTGTTGATCCCAAGATGGGAATATGTAATAAGCAAAAAGTTGAAATCAGAGGTGAGGGTAGCAGGGAATATTGCCCAAAATAGAGATACTTGGTATATTTCTGATTGTACATCATTCTTCAACTTAAATATCAATAAAGCTTTGATTAGTTATATTGATAAAAAGAAGCAATTTCTTCAACTCTCTGTTTGTATCATGGTTTAAAGTATGGATACACCTCTGTCTATTGGTACTTTCAACAATACTCCCCCCCATTATTTTTTAGTGTTTTTTTGTTTCAAGTTTCAGTTTTAAATATAGTTACATATATATAATTTAAAAAATGGGTTCCTGAAAACACCTGTAAACAGGTGCATCAGGAATCAGAAGATATGATACGATATACCCGATATGGGGCGTATTATTTCAAAAATTTGATCCTTGGTTTGTGTGTTTCAATTAATTTTTTGTTCTCTGTTTCCATGGCTCTAGGATGTGAAACGTAAAAAGGTTACAGAAGGGAAGGGGGCTGCAATAGGAACTGGTGTCCTTGGGTCAAGTGAATTATCAACTGTCAAGAGATCATGTGGTGGACAAAATCAAAACTTTCCAGGTCAGCTGTTTTCTAATGCACTACCATAAAGTGAGTGCTGTTATTGTTACTTTACATTTGTAGAACTCTTAATCATGACATTGGACACAAAAAAGGCTTTTTGAGCAGAATAAAAAAGGTCCAGTGTTTTTTTCACCTCCTTAGTTTGTATTCTGTAAATAAAAAAGAATTGCTTACCTTTGTTCAAATGTATTTGGGATCCAAACCTCATGGATTCTTTTTCCATTTCAGAGCCTCAGAATATAATGAGTCCCAAAAGAGTCATGAAGGCCAGCTATTTCACAAAGGATAACATTGAAAGTGATGGGTCTTGCTTCAGTCCAAGTAGCCTATTTGCTTTCCCTCCAGATGGGAGTTCCTTCATGTTTGACTCTTTCCAGTTTACTGATGATAGTTCCGACCAAGATCTACTGCTGGATGTGCCGTCCAATGGATCCTTCCCTCAGGCAGAACTACTACCCCCATCTTCAAGTTTTGTCGTGCAACAGGCCAGCACTAGTAGTAGCACAGTATTCCCCCATCTTATTCATCCCTGAGTTTGTCCATACAGAATGGTTTTATCCTTGAGTGGTTATATGGGCATCACTCTTGGAAAGAAGGGAGTCTGCAGTATGCATGGTTTTACATTCTGCAATGCAAAAGAACTGTGTAAATGAGGTTTGGTGTTTTTTTTAATCACTTTTTTTCCCTATCTTTCTTTTTCCCTTCCCTTTGCCATATTCAAATAATGCTGACATGTTTGAGTATTGGAATATTAAGGGATGGATGTGGATGGCTTTTTTGTATAGGCTGAGTCTGACAAATGATTGTAATATATAGCTCAAACTGCAGAGGAGGTGGCCTTGTCTAGAGCTTTATGGAGAGTTTTGCATGTACTTATTCTAGTTGCTGCTTGCCAAATAAGCTTTGAAATAGCTTATAGTCATCGAGTATACCTTTGGTGCCGCATGTGTTGGCACCTTTGCTTTTGTTAAAATGACTTTGGATGAAGGTCTTTGTGTGCTGAGGAGATTAATTGAGAAAGGGAATGCAAGTAATGCCTACTTAAAGTCTCCATGACTGATTTTTAGTGACCAGTAGCTAAGGAATGTGACAAATTTTGCATGTTAGTTTTCTATTCTCTATAGCCATGTTTGATGCTACTAATGATGCATATTCCTTGGTTTTTCTTAATGTTATTTGTCAGCATGGTCGGAACTTGGTTTGCTTAACCATTTCAAACTGTTGCAAAAGTCATATCCAACCATTACAAAGTAATATTAATTCTTACAAACCCATAAAAGGTGACCAATTTCGAATTTGGGTGGATGGGTCTCTGACAAAGCCAATGGTTTTGGACTGACTACTGGATTTGGGGTTAGTCCGTTCTGCAACTGACTTATCATCAGTTTGAATGGTTGGACCGATTGGGCTAACGATAGGTCAAAGACATTGGAAATAGCCTAATAAGTGTTTAAAAGAATAAAATTCAAAACCAAACCGGAGGCTGAACAAGGAAAAAAGTCGTTCTGGTTCGGAAGCATTGGCTAAAACTTGAAGGTTTCAAGACAAGAGCTTCTTGGTTCTTAGGAGATTATTATCATGAAGAAAGGATGAATACTTTGCACCATGGATGGATCTTAATGGTGCACGATATGGTGCTCCCTACTGTCCGATGCCGAACTAAGTAGGTCGCCTTGTTGAGCTACAAGAAGGAAGATACCAAAGTGATTGGGTTGCTTTACCTGGGGTGAGCATTCTGATGCTTAAGTCAAAGAATTAATAATGTGATTGCAAGGGTGCAAGAGCTAGAGTGTATGGGAGCTAATTGTGCGTACCTTTCCTGTGAATGGGGATGCCTTTATATAGGTTAGCTATCGTGAGACTCACGAAGCGTGTCTGAGATCTCCACTCCATCTAGTTTAGAGGTGGTTTCATGCTCAAAGATAAACTCTACGTAAGCAGGTAATGTCTATCCAGTTGCCTCCAAAACGAGTGGGATGATAACCGGCTTCTTCCAACGTGGCACCATGATCTCAGGGAAGTTAGAAACAACAATCCGCCAGTAGATGTCGCTTAGTACGTCAAGCAGGTCGATAGCTGAACTTGGGTTAGGTCGGCGGAAGCAGGTTGTCTCTTACGCAGACCTGACGTTTTCCTGGGCTGGTCACACTTCGGTTTGTCAAGGTGGTGCCGAGGTCGTCAGGGCAGCTGCTAGGTGTTCGAGGCGCTCCCAAAGTTTACTTACGTGGTGTTGAGGTGTCAACTGATTGTTTTGAGGTGCTATGTGTTATCACGTCACTGGAGGGCCAAACCAGCCCTCATCAATTGCCCCCACTCCCGAATCGATGCCGGTTCAGTGAAGGTAGTAGCTCGTAGCCAGTCTTTGACTCGTGGTGATTCGCTCGGTTAGTTCACAAATCGTTCGTCTTGTTTGCCCAGCTCGGCTCAAGGGCAGGCTAACGCGAAAAATTTGAATTTCAAATTTCAAATTAAGCATGTAAATTTTTAAAATTCAAATTCGCCTGTGAGTGGTGCACCCTTCTAGACTGTCGATCTGTCATCGTGTCGCCTTGTCCGTCAATTTTCCATGCCCAAGGCTATAAAATAGGGGGGTCCCATTTGCATTGTTTTGAGATTTCCAGCGAGAGAGTGGGGCAAACAATTGGAGGAGAATTCTACTAAGAGACTGTTGTCAATTCGGTGGGCAAAATCCTGCTGGGGCCTCACATTGGGGCCCACAGCACGAGATTGGTGAGATTTCCACATTGGGTTAACTTTTTGGCAAGAGTCAGAGGCCAGCTCCCAGTTTGTTCCTAGCAAGCTAAGCAGGGAGGAAATTGTTGGTTTAGCGTCTGCATTATACATCCCAAGTGAATTCAACTATATTCAGCCTGGCTTGAACCAGTTCCCTTGGAGTCATGGCCGAGGCAAAGTTTGTGTCTTCGACGAAGTGTTGGTCGTTGGCATCTGATTTCCTCTTCACCCATTCATTGTTGAGGTGCTTTCTCTCTACAATATTTCTTTGGGGCAACTTCACTCGAATGCCATTCGAACCCTCGTGGGGACAATTTTTACTCAAGATATAGATGTCTTCTCGGGGATGTGTAGTATAAAGAAGGTTCCCAACGAGCCCTACTATTTTTACTTGTCTTTGCGCCGAGGTTATAAGCTTTAGGAGGTTTTCCCATGAAAGTCAGGGATTGGAAGAGTAGGTACTTCTTCATTTCTTGGGAGGTCGGCTGGCCTATAGACATCGTCTGGCGACGTAGGGTGAGAAAGGCCTCTGAGGTCGAGTTCGATGAAGAGTTTAGTGTTGAAGACCAACACCTCGTATGTTAGTGGTTACTAATAGATAAGTTCTTAGCGGAGCCTATCGTTCAGGCCTGCCTGAGTCCCATAGGTAGGTCGGCTGAATCGTCTTTTGTTTTTTTATTGGAGGTTACCCTCTAGCTCGGCTAACTTACTTTTCTTTTGTATGTCTTCTCAGGCTGGCATGTACTAGTTCTCTCCTAGAAAAGGCTAAGAGGCCCTCAAAGAAGAAGAGGAGGGCGGCTTCACTCATCAACGGAGGGTTCATCGGCCGATGCCGAGGAGAGGCCTTCCACGTGCATGCCCAAGGTCGCCAACCTTGAAGGGGGTAGTGACCACATGTCCGTAGAGCCCACTTAGGTTGCCACAGATCTGGTCATCCCATCCCCTCAGGTTACCTCAGAAGAATGCGCTATTGGCCCCTATCACTCCAACATACCCCGTTTCATCCCTAACATCGACATTTCGATCATTGACCGTCTCATCGATCCTCTAGTTGCTCTGCGAATGGGGAGAGGAATCCTTCTCGCTGAGGACTTACAATTCTACAATGGGCTTGATCCTTCTGATGTTGGCACAAGGATGATTCGGTGCATCCTTCAAGTATGACCTCTATTTCTGATATTTGCATTTATTTCCTTCTAGACCTTATTTGTTTATTTTTTCTTTCTTGCAAATGAACACGATGGGCCAGGTCTTGCTAAATCAGATCACCTTGTCCAAGCATGAAAATTGTGAAATGCAGGCGAACATAGAGGCCCTATAGGCCCAACTAGAAGGAGCTCACCTGAGCGTTGAGGCGGCTCACCGCAGTGTAGAGGAGGACCACCAACGCTTCCTCAAGCTTAGTACCGGCATGCAGCACGGGTTGGAGCAGACCAAAGGAATCATTGTTGCCCTTACCGCTGAAGTGCAGACTAAGGGTCGTTAGCCGGAAGAGCGACAAACTAAATATACTAAGGATATTTGTCGCGTCGAGGTCGCAACGGTCAAGCACTTATGCATGTCGCTAGATTATGAGCAGGAAAAGGTCAATAACGCCCTTCCTTATATGAAGAGGGGATTCAAGCTACATCGTCGCTTCCTCAAGTCCCTACATCCCAACTTTGATTTTGGTAACCTGTTTATTAGGTTGATATCAGATGAACTAGCCATGTTGGTCAACCAAGAGCCTCTAACTCCGAACGAGGAAGATGGCGAGGTCAACAATGTGGTAAAGGACGAGGGCATGAATGAGGTTGACGACGATCTACAAGGTGATGAGGAGGAGTGACTGTCGGTGGGGAGTTTCTGTTTACGTTCTTTAAGGAATTGTTGTACCTAGAACCTGCATGCTCCTTAATGCTTCTTTTTAAAACTTGTGTGCTCTTAATTGTTTCTTTTTAGAGTCTGTGTGCTCTTAACTCTTTGTTTGGCTATATGTCATGCCCCTTTGTTTTTGAATGAAACGATCTTTCCTGTACACTTTGTGCCTTCTTTCTCACTCTTTATTTTTCACTGCTAGAAAATAGATTAAGTATGAAAACACGATCTGGGATTGTCAAAGTGCGCCTATGTTAGGGTCTTGAAACAACTGGACTTGCAATTTTGGCTAAGTCGAAATGTTGTCGAGCTATATGTCTGAGTTACCGAGCTACCGACATTTTCCAAGTTCGACATAGGGGGCCTTAGGGCTGAAAGCGGCTTGACTTCCTCTTGTGTATAGCTTAGCCGAAGTGCTCATAGCGTAGATCGTCTAGATCAGGTCGCCAGGCCGGGCAGTCTCATTTTTATACTTAGTGAAATTTATAGTCTTTGCGGACGTCGCTCGAAACTTCCAAACTCTTCATACATAATGTCTCCTTAAGTTCTCAATGTTCCATGCATGGGGTACTTGTCTCCCATCCAATGTTTTGAGCTCATACGTACCCTCACTAATCACCTTGATAACTCTATAAGGGCCTTCCCAATTCGGACCTAGCTTTACCATGCCTCGCTTAGGTACCATAACTTTCCTGAGTACTAGGTCGCCAACTTGAAATTGACACCTCTTAACTCAGGTGTTATAATACCAAGCTACTCATTTTTGGTATGCCGCGATACGGCCGAATATAGGCTAACTCACGGAATTCTTCCACCAGGTTGAGGTTCGTTTGCAACTCATCCTCGCTAGCCTCCTCATCGTACGTCTCAGACTGTAAGGTTGGCACTTCGATCTCAATTAGGATGATAACCTTCATCCCGTACGTTAGGTTAAAATGAGTCTCGTCAGTTGCCATCTTGATAGTAGTTCGGCAAGCCCAAAGGACACTGGGCAACTCGCCCACCCACAAACCCATCTCGGGAGAGCCAAGCTTTGAGTTCGTGGAGTATTGTCTTGTTCGTCATTTCGGCCTGACCGTTTGCCTGAAGGTGAGCCAACGTAGTAAAATTTTGCTAGATTTCCATCTCAACACACCAATCCTGAAATATTATGTCTTCAAACAACTTCCCCATGTTTGATATCAACACCTTGGGGAGTCTGAATCCATAGATGATGCTCTTCCAGAAAAAGTTTTGTACGTTTTATGCTATAATTGATACTAGTGGCTCAGCTTCCACCAACTTCATAAAGTAGTCAATCACAATGACTAAGAACCTCCTTTGTTCAGTCGCAGGTGGAAAGGGACCGAGGATATCTATCTCCCACTATGCAAATGGCCACGGACTGATAAGGTACCTCAGGTTGACAACAGACTAGTATGGTACGTTAGCATTCCGTTGGCACTTGTCGCACTTCTAAACTAATTCCAATGCATCTGCCTTCATCATGGGCCAATAGTAGCCTTGCCGTAGCATT